AAGTTGAACATCATTATTATCTCATGTTCAGTTATTCTAATACTAACAAAATTATAACGGACTTTTTTCAACCTAATTGTATCTTAGTTTTTTCAAAAAAAAATAAAAATAAAAATATTAATTATCAAAAAGTAAATCATAATTACATTTAATGTGTTATATTTTGTATCATTATCGATAATTTTCAGAATAGTTAACTGCACACAATATTATATATAATATATCGATATACTTTATTGGTAAAATTTAATTAATTTTCAAGGTATATAGGCATATCATGATTCTCCATATATTTTTAATTAATTTATAGATAATCATATGATCTAAATTCAATGTTGCTCAAGTGATATCCCATTCGACATGAAAATAAATAGTATGGGTTTTAATATTATACAATATCATAAAATTATTCTAATCATATTTTAAGAAAGAAGTTGAGTATTAGAAGTTTAGGCTACAAAATAAGAATTCAATTGTTCTCATACTACTACACAATTGTTTTTTTTATATAGGTTATTTCGAAAAACAAAAAATATTTCTATACTTTATGGGCATTATGAGGACAAACATTATCGATTTTAATTTTTTTTTACTTATAGTTGTTAATAATAGATGATTAATGGTGTTGTATGATATGATTTGTTGGTAAAAATTAATTAACTTCAGCGTATATAGACATATCATGATTCTCTAGATATATTAATTAATTTATAGACAATCTTATGATCAAAACTAAATCATGTTGCTCAAGTAGTATCTCATTCGATAGGAAAACAATTGGAATGACTTTTAGTATTAGAAAATTTTATAAAATTATTCTAATCTTATTTAAATAAATACATTTGGTAGATTAGAAGTTTGAGTTGCAAAACAATTATTCAATAATTTATCTCTAATAGTGTTACACAAATTTTCTTTCTCATAGGTTATATTTAAAAAAAAAAAACTATAGTTTATGGTCGTTATGAGAATAAGTAATATCGACTTCATATTTTTACTTATAGTTACTAATAAACTCATAAAATTAAATAAATATTGTTAAAAAAATTATCTTATATACTTACGGTTAAAACTCTCAAAATTATTGAGAAAGTCATAAAAGTATTTACGGATCTTAATATAATTTAAATAAATAAAATATTTAATATACAAAAATTTGAATTGTCATTGTTTATAATGCTTTCATCTTGAAAAACAATTGCTCATGTGAAGCAATAATAATTAAAATGTCATGATATATTTTTGTTAATAATTGAATGAAAAACATCAAATATTTTAAGTGATCAAAATTGAATCCAATAGAACTAAAGTGCAATTTATAATTATAATTCTAAATACAAAA